CCTAATAACATTAGCAAAAGAGCAGGAATAAAGTACCTAGAGCATGGCTTGAATCTTGAAGGTTAAGATCTAGATCAGTTAAAACATATTAATTACTTCTGAATGGTCTCAAAGAGCATTTGCCGTGTATATTTATGTCAATAAAGCCTTGATGAGGGCATGGATGAAAATTCACATCACACTCCAATTCACCAGGGTACCCAAGTGCGTGTATCTGAAGTTACTGGGTTCTGAAAAAACAGTCTCGGTCTCCAAGCGCCCGCACTCCCTCAGGCACCCCCGGGGCTGGGCGAGTGAACCGCATCTCAGGGACAGGCGATGCATCCGTGGCGGGGCGCTCCTTCCGGCCGTGAGGGTCCATGCGAGGTCGGATCCCGCTTCTCGCCGGTACAAAGATGAAGGAGGCTTGGCGTGTGGAAAGCTGCCCATAACTAGTACCAGGCCGAATTTTCATTTGTATTTTTTTAAGAAATTGGGAGAGCGACCTGTATCGTTAATTCACCAAAGAAAGCGGTGTGTAAATGATGGCTTATGTTCGAAGAGATCTTTCTCTCTGCATAAGAAATGCCCACCTTATTCTTTAGGGGAGATTAATAAACGCGTCCAAATTCATAAACTAATAAATACATTATAGTACGTCCAAATGTGCAGAAGAAGAAACTGGATCTGATCTGTCCTATAGGGAAATGGTCCGGTAGGGTTTTTCTTTTTTTTTTTTCCCCTGTTTTGATTTGTACAGTTTTTCCCCCTCCCCCTCTGCACACACATACACACGCTCACGCACACATGCTGCAATATACACTGCATATTGTGTCTGCCTACACAAGTTTTCTGCTATAGTTGGAAACCTGTCTGTGAAACGCTTTGTTTTCGCTCAGCCTTTCTTCAGATACACCATTTTATTATGCACCTTTTAAAATCAAATGGCACGGCAGTACCTGTTTACTCAATTTTCCAGTATTATCTGTTTTCCGGGAGATTCTCGCCCCAGAATAACTGCATCTGAACTGAGCACAGCTATCCATCTGCTTTGGGCGGCCGAGTGCCTCTCTCCCGCCTGGAGGGGCCGGAGCCGCCGTGCGCCCCCGGGGTCCGGCCCCTCGGCCCGCAGGTGCCCTTGCCGGTGCGCTCGCTGCCCTCAGCTCCGCTCCCACGGCTTGTACGCCAGGTGCGGGCAATCCCGCAGGGGTGCCTCCGCTTCATTTGTTCAGCAGCATCATGCATCTTCTTTCAGGATAGACGGGCTTCACCGGGGCCGGTGACAGCGGGCTCTCGGCTGATACGGAAACCACGAATTTAGCTGCTGCGGGCTGCCTTTGCCTGTACACCTGGATCGGGGCAGTGCTAAGTCTGATCTCCGCTTGCAGAAGTCACTTGTTTTTGACGAAGGTTAATATCTCTGAAACGGTCAAATTCTCCCATCATTCGAGAGCCGCCTCTTGAAATCTGCTGGGAAATGTCCCCAGCGTACTAACTCCGCGCTGGTGGTTCTGTGGAGAGGTGACTTTGTCCACGATTGCTGTAACTTTCAGAGCTGAATTACTGCCCTTCGGCCGCTAGTCCTTTCACATCTTGTACTTTATCTACCGTAGCGTTTATACATTTAAAATCTGCACAGGGACTCGTAGAGCCAGAGCACTCGGGCCCCGGCCACAGGGAGAGCCGGTGCGGACGCTGTCACCCACCCGGGCTGCGGGGAAGAAACCGAGTCCCGGTACACCGGGAAAGAGAATCCTCGGTGAGCTACGGGCTTCGATGGGGCTGTGTGGGTTTGGTAAGATGGATGCTCATATTTCCTGGTATAAATTAGCAGAAGTGTATCCTTCTGGTTTATTTATATTTCCCAGACCAAAGGTGTTATAGAAGACATTCTCTCTGGCTCTTGTTGACAAATAAGTCGTGAGCTACCTGACAGTGTTAGTCCAGTTGTTGCCCATATGTCTAAATAACCTTCTAGAAACGTCAGTGCCGTTTAGGAAGAGAATTACTTCAAATGAAAACCAGAAGGAAGCTTTTTTTTATTGTTCTATCCTTTTCTTGTCCCCCAAACTCACGTTACACCTGAGGGCAGTAACATACGGGGAAGATTTTTGTAAATTCAGTGTCACTTTTCCCCACAGCAGCCATCGCTTTACAACCTGACAGGGTGGTGAGGGGTGCGCTCTTTTCCTTTTTTTTTTTTTTTTCCCCCTTACCTTCACTAAATGCCTTGCGTTCATGTTTGTTTAACAACGAGTCGTTTCGGTAAATAAGACGATCAAAAGAACATTTGAGACTCCGTGGATACATTTCTCTGATGCTTGTAGACGCCTGGACACCCAGAGGAGTTGTTGAATGCCTCTCTTTCCGTCTTTCCTTTATTTACCCAAATGAACTCAGGGAAAGCTTTTAACCGCGGGGAGATTTAAGGTGATAAGCAGCGAACAGACGGTCTGCACTGCAAGCCTGCGTTTCAAACTGCAGCCGGCCAAAGAGCAAAAGGGATGAGATGCTTCAAAGGCTACATTTTTTTTTTTGGTTGACATTTTTCTTCTTTAGAAAACAGAGACCGTTTCTTTTTCCTCGAAATACTACGACTGTTGCCTGCCAGTGCAATCTCATTTTAAACAGTTATTTTAGCCGAAGTCTCCCATCGACTGGTTTGTCAATTATGTCAGGCTTTTGAGAGTCCGCTATGGTTTTAGGAAAGACTCTAAAACCTTTCTCCCACCACTCCAGGCGCACTCTCTCTGCTCTGTCTACTCTTTGCAGGAGCCGCGTCATTTTTTTAGGGTTATTTTCCCCAGATATCACGTGAGATTAGGAATAGTCCCTCTCCCCGGGTAAAAAAAAAGAAATCTCACATCCACATTGTGTTTTAAAGCAACTCTGTCTCCTAATGTAGGAAGATTTGGACTGGATTTTTTCACTCTCCTTTTTTTTTTCCTCCCCTGTTCGTGGGATTTTTTATTTTGTTTTGTTTATTTTTTTCCAGTGCGTATCAAGAAAATTAATTAAAATCTTTCTCCACCCTTCTCCCCCTCCGCCGCGGGACTCGATTCACACTGTCCCGCAGCACATCAGCCCTGCGAAAAAAAAAAAAAACGTAAAAAAAAAAACCGTACATGGTTAAAGTTGGGGATGTCAGGGAGGTGGGGCAGCCGGGGACGTGACCGCAGCTTATTTCTCCCAAGCGCGACCACTTGGTCGGTGGGCTTTGGGATGGGGAAATGTGTACGAGTGTGTAAAACTGCGGCGATCCTCACCACCCGCAGTCCTGCGGGACCTCAGCCGCTCACCCCCGCTGCCCAGTGGAGAGGCGATGGCCAAAACATACCCACCCCAACGTAAATAAGCCCCTAACAGGTACGCGGGGTGAAAGATGTGTGTGTGTCTGTGTGTGCCCGTGGGTGTCTGCGTGTCCCCACTCCCCCCGGCCGCGCCGCCAGGTCAGAGGGCGGACACAGGGAAAGAGGGGAGGCGGGAGAAGGGTGGGAATGTGTCCGCCTGACGCCACCGCCCCCTCCGCCAGTGGGAGGCCGGGCGAGGGGCGGCGGCGGCCAACGGGACGCGAGGCGGCTCCGTGAGTGGCATTAAGGGAGGGCTCGGCCGGGGCGGAGGGAGGGGGGCCAAGGGGGGAGTTGGAGAGAAATGAAGTTGTGCTAAAAGGCTTTTAGCCATCAAGAAGTTATTAGGCATTTCTCAGCCGCAAATTAGGGATTCTTCATTAATACCAACCTCGCCCCCCCACCCCACCCCACCCCTCCTTATGTGAGACGGAGAGCCTGGGAGCCGATAAAGGGGATGGGGAGGCGGCAATGTCTGTCTGCCCATCGGTGCGAGGAGCAGTGACAGGCGCAAACTTTCCCCCGTGCCATTAATGAACCAATTAAAGAGTTGGGCTCCTCACCCCGGGAGAGCTCTCTGCAGGCTGCCGGGCTCAGGGATTCAAGGTAGGTGAAAAGAAGATCACAGCCCACCACAATCTGCCAGCCTCAGCGAAGAACCACAGTGATGTGCGGTGCTAGGCTGTGGGTCGCTTCCCCACGGTGAAAAATGAGGAGAAAAAAAAAAAAAAAAAAGATAATTTGGTTGGAAAAATGTGGTGTTTGGGTGGATTCCGGCTAGGGGCAGGGCTGGGCAGAGCGTGCCTCCCCTGGCTGGGGTGCAGCTGAGGTAGACACCCCCGACCCCAGCCGAGGAATGAGGACAGTAGCCGAGAAGAGGAGAAATTCAAAGGAAAGAAAGAAAGAAAAAAAAGAAAAGAAATGGAAAAGGGAAAACAAGCAGAAATACTCCGTGACTGGAAATGTATCCCTCTCTGAGGGTCTGGCAGCGCGGAGCGCGGGGAGGTTTGGCCGCCGCCGCGGTGCCGGCCCGAGGGAGCACGAAGGGGACGGCGCAGCCCCGGCAGCACCAAGCCCGGTAACGCCGGGAGCCGGGGACTGCTCTCTGCTGCGCCTTCGTTCTGGCCATGCAGTGCACACCTGGGCTGGGAAGTGAGAGGGCTGTGGGAGGAGAGTGCGGGGCAGACTTCTCCACGGGCGCGCTAGATGGGAAAATACACTTTTTTTTTTTTTTTTCCCCTCTGGTGGGAGAAAATACTACACCCGCCGGAGGCTGGTTGTTGATTATTATTTCTCGCGGCTCCGCTGCGGCGCCGTGTACCGGCTCTCTCACTCCAGGACTGCTGTTGTCTTCACAGAGAGAGGCTCCGGGGAACTCGCCAAGCGCCCTGGGAGGCAGCCCGCGGCCGTGCGTTTCGGCCCTCGGATTGACAACGGATCACGGGAAAAAACGGGATTACTATGACCCTCTTCCGAGGAGCTATGCTGCCCGCCATGAGCAGGAAAAAAGGCCAGAAATACATCGTTTGGTTGTTGTCTGGTGTCTCAATCTTCTAGCTTTTTTTTTTTTTTTTTTTTTTTTTTTTAATGCAGTTGCTTGGAGGGCTGAGCTGCCTTGGATAAATGCATTTCCCATCTAATTGACTCTGCTTTTCAGAGTATATATACTTTTTTTTTTTTAAGAGCACCTCTACTCTTCAAAACTTGTTTACTTGTTTGAATTTACACAGCAGAACGGTTTTTCTGAGTAATGGCCGCGCTCAGAACCATTGCCTGATGCTCCGGAGAGATGAATTGCAGATGAGTTTCCCTTCCACCTTTGGATGAATCTCTGGAGTTTAAATTGTAGCAAAGAAGTGGGAAAAAAACACGATGAAAGAGAAGTCCAAAAATGCTGCCCGGACTAGACGGGAGAAAGAAAACAGTGAATTTTATGAACTGGCTAAATTACTACCCCTGCCCTCCGCTATCACCTCTCAGCTGGACAAAGCATCCATAATCAGACTCACCACCAGCTATTTAAAAATGAGAGTGGTTTTTCCAGAAGGTAGGTGGGAATGCCTATTCGCTTCTATTTTCATTCTGATCCAGGAGTCATTTATCACTTTAACGGTTAAAAAAAAAATTAAAAAGGAGGTCAATCCTTTAGGGTGTGCTCGGATACAGGGTGCCCTCCTCTGTCACTTTCCTCTGTTGTAAATACTTTCCCTTTAGCTCCTATGACAGGTTTGGTTGGAGACTTACGGTGCTTTTGTCAACACTTGAAGGCACTGAGCTCTGCTGTGTGCTCTGCTAAAGCAAACCCGGGTTTTCTTTTCCCCCAGTGTCCCAGTCAAATGTGCAACCCTCACCAAGCACATGCGAGGCCTAAGAGGGCATGATTCACCCCTATTTATAGTTATTCTGTGAGGGCGAGTTAGTATATGGGTAAATATTTACATAAGTCTATGCAAAGCCCTAAAGCCTTAGTTCTACTCTCGAGGAAAGGTGCGTTGTACAGGTACAGGACACGCGTGCAGGCATGCTCACACCCAGGCTAAACAAATAAGTCGAGCACACTGAATCACATCATTAGTGTGCTGTTGTCACGTTCTGAGGATCACTAGGGCAGTTTGAGGGCATTAATCGACCTCGGAAAATTTTAGCAGGAGTTTTGCGCCCAGACATATTCAATCCCCCTGACTACCCAGTACTGCAAAACCAGTGGCCCAGCCTAGACATGATTCTCCTCGACAGGCAACAGTAAACTTAACTTTGACTTCTACAACAGCAACAACCCGCCTGTCTAGCAAAAGAAAACTTAAGCGTCCCGAAGTGTCTCTTGCTTTTAAATAGAATTAGGATCTAAAGAGACCGTCTTTGGTCTTCTAGATCGGCTGCCAAGAAAAACAAGCAACACAAAGATAAGAGAGTCAGAATAAAGTTCTTCCCTGTTCTCACTCTATTAATTTTATAAGTTGTAGGGGAAATGATTTTTTAAAAAGAAATTCACGAACCTTTTATTTAGATCAACTCGATGGAGTTGTGGTCTGTATTAAAGAAAAGGTATCAAGAGCTTTTGTTTTGTTTTGTGTTTTCCCCTGACCTAATACGAAATTCGCTGCATCTTTTGTTAAAAAGTGAGTGTACATAAGAAACATCGGAATATATCTATGTCCCCATGAGTTTTCTGTAGCTGTATCTCGACTCGGTTGGCCTGTATTTTTTGCAAATTAAGAGTGTGTATATGGCCTGCTTTTGTTTTGCTCTAGTTTTGTCTGATTTGGTGGTTTGAGGAGTTTCTAATTTTTTCCCCCGGTTAAATTAGTAAACTACTGGTCCTAATTCGACTTTTAAAAATAAATATGCAATGTGGCAAACATTTGGACGGGGGATGTAATCTTTCCCCCCCCCCCCCGCCCCAGGTTACGGATGAATGTTTATACCTAAAGTCTACTGCAGCAATTTCCAATCCAGTGCTTTTTACAATGATTTCTTGAAACAACTTTCCATATCATCGAGTCACTTGTAACAAAATAAAGGGTTAAATGAAACCTTTAAAAATAATAATTAAGGTCTTCGTCAAGCCACTTTCCTCTTCTATTTGCTCTGCCACCTTGAAGATCATTATGCGGGACAGTCCTCTGTTTCAAAGGAGACGGAGTTGTCCTTTATGCTGTCAGCGCATACTTTATAAAAATAAAGCCATTGCAAACCCTGATGCCCATGATGTTCCTAAAAGGATTATTAGCAATGATTTGTCAACTCCTGCGGTCTCAGTAGGCTACCTTTCTGCGTGATTTCGAGCAGGTCTCGTCAATTACTGGTGCCTGTGTAGCGGGTTGTTTGATCAGAAGAAGCATATGGTGTTGCTTGTAGGCTGTGAGTAATCATGGGAAGAGAAGAATAGCTGATCCCCGTCCCTCGGTGGCAGCGCAGGATGCCTGAATGCCCTGGGGAACCGTGTGGCGAAGCGCGCCGGGGCCAGGGCCGCCGCCGGCCGCAGCAGATGCTAATTTGAGTGCGGAGGCAGCGGGGGCGGCTGAGCGGGGCTCGGGGGCAGCGGAGCCTTCGCAGCCTCATTAAAGGCAAACTGCGCTTTAGAAAGAAAGGCAGGGAGCAGGCTCGGGAGAGCTCGCCCCTTTGAGGCACTGCGGCGGGAGGCCCGGCGCCGAGCGGGCTGCAGACCCCTGCGGGACCACCGGCCCAGCATCCTCGGGGCCGCGCATCCCCGCGCAGGGCCGCGGCCGAGGGCGCGCTGCGAGCGGGGCACAAAGGCTCGAGAGCGGGGCTTGCAACGTGGCGTGGAGCCGGGCGGCTTCCCCGCGGTGCCACGAGGGCTCTCTCTCCCTCCCACATCCTTCCGAGGAGGCGGGGAGCGGGGCCCGGCTCGGCCCCGGCCCCGCGGGTTTCCCTGCACTCGCCCGTGCCGCGATTGAACACGAGCGGGGCGCCCACGAGCGGCCTCCCGGCGCTGAGCCTGTGCCCGGCCGTGCGAGAGCCGAGCCCGGGTGATTTTTCCCGGCACCCCGGGCGACGCAGTGGGCTCCGGGAACGCGGCCGAACAGCCTGGGCTCCCGTTGCGGGTGCGCTCGTGCTGAGTGTGAGTGTAGGGAGGCAAGGAACCGGGGGGCTATTCTGGTTTTCCAGTGCCCCCACGCAGAAAAAAAAAGTAAAGTCACCGCTTCTCTGGGAAGGAAGGACAGGTAGTGGCAGCCGGGGAAATGACACACGGAAAGGACAAGTCTTTCTGAACGGAGGAGGCAGGGTAGGGATGTTGGATGGATGCGATGGGGTTCCTTTCGCTTGTATTTCCCTGGGGAGGAAAGCGATACAAGCATCGGGACAGACCCGAAAAGTTGGCCAAAACACTGGAGATGGGTTGCAGGAGGCTCGGGAGAACGGCGGATGTCATATCGTACATTTAAAGAGATCTTGGTGGAGTAAGGGTAGAGAAATGCTGTCTCTGTAAGAGCAAGCCGCACTTCCAGAGTAATTCATACCCCCTCTACCCGGTACGAGAGCGAATTTCCATCTGCCCAGAGAGTGCTTGCATAGAGTTGGTTGTAAATAATCACGTACAGAAAGATATACACTCATCGCTGCGCACACGCGGGGCTGGGGGCGAGGCGGAGAGAATCGGTGTGCGCTTGTCTGCGTAGTTTTGTGTCTGAAAGGTCCCTGCAGAGAAGGAAGGTGGGTAGATTTCGGGTCCATTTTGGAAATAGGAGTTCTGTGGGAGTGAAATGCCCTGAGAGTCATACACAAAATAAGCACAAGGGGTTTCCTTCTTACCCCTAGACATCTAAACACAAGGCAGTGGCACTGGACAAACTTGACAAACCGGGCAGAGATTTTTCTACGGGCTTTCTCTCGTAATGGTTGTGTAATCTTCATAAGTTATTGAAACGCTTGGGTTGTTCTTTCTACCCCTAATTTCACTTTATTAGGTCTTCAGCAGATTAAGACTGTCAAGGACGAAAAGTGCAAGACGTATGTTTCTTGCATTGTTTCAGTATTAAAACACTTTCCAGGAGGAGAAAGCGAATCAGATCTATACTGCTTTTCGGTGATCAGACAGCTTTGGAAAGAGTGAATATCTGCTAATTTTCTGAGAACATTAAGGAAGAGTTTTTAGGGTTGTTTGTTTGTTTGTTTGTTTTTCCAAGCAGGACTTCTAAATAAATAAATTCCTGGTATAACGTTCATTATAAATAAATATAAATGTTTCAATTTAACATTAAATAGCTAATGGTAAGTAATGTGGATGTAAAAAATAGGTAGAAAAATCTCCAGGGTGTCAAAGGACTAAAAGAATTTTCCGCCAAAACCGATGCCACCACTATTACTATTGCAGGGCAATTCTTCATTGACCTTCAACAGTATCCAGAAGGGAAGAGAGAAAAAAATTAATAAAACCCAAACCAACCCCCCAGGTGGCACAACAAATAATTTTTGTTTGTTTGTTTGTTTCTTTCTTTCTTTTTTAGTTAAGAATATTTTAAAGGTCCTATTCGCCATCCGCGACCAAAGATGCAAAAGGAGGTTTTGCGGTCTGTCCTAGTGGAAAGGGATCGTTTTGGCTCAGAGAGGCGTTTGCTTTTCGAGACAAAAGCAGCGATTCCGTTTACATAAACTTTCGCCGAATCAGGATGGTTAACATTTCAATATTGAAACCCTTAACCTTGTTTTATTTTAAAGGAGGAAGAGATCAACAGAAAAAAAAAATCCGTTTCCCACGTGGATAGGTGATTTAATGCTGTTTTTCTTGCTGCAAAGGGAAATGATTGAGCATTAGGTTTCAATGTTTATTTTCTTACAGAAGTTTTTCTCATTTAAGCAGCAGTTTACTCTCCACGCTGAATCTCTGTTTAATTCCAGTTTTGATGTGAACTTAAAATGTGAAGAGCAGAACTAAACTACTAGCAGGATCGTTGAAAAAAAACCCCACAGATTTATGTTTGAGAAGGAATACTTAATGAGAAGAGCTGGGGAAAAAAACATATTTCCTTTGGAAACACACGACCGTTTTCATGTTGGAGAATATTTTTCAACTTGCATATAAACAGCGTGTAGGTTGCTGCAAATCCTTCCTTCTCCTATTTCTTCGAAGTAAAGGCTACTTGAATTTGAGTCTTCTGGACAAACGAATAAGTAATTGGTGCTCGAAAATGCCCTGATTTTTTTCCCCTGTCTCCACTTTGGACATGGTTCCGTTTGTTTGCATTTCAAAGCGCAATTCCGCTACTCCGTGTGTGCCAAAATCCTGGTATTTCTTTCTACAGTGAAACAGCCATAGCATTATTTCTACTACTATTTTCCTAACAGGGATGTTTGTTTAGTCAACAGGGCTTTTCCTCCCTGTTATTACTATTTTTATAAAGAAAGAGGGATGCTAATTTATCTCTGCTTCAAATGAATACGTGTGATTTACCGAGATAATAAATCTTTACAAAACCTTGCTAATGGCATCCGCAGGCAGTGGAAATGAGCAGCTTTTTTTCTTTTCTTTTCTTTTTTTTTTTTAAAAGCATAGCTTATTCTATTCCATCTGAGCCCTCCGACGGC